GCCCTACCCCACATTGCACTGATTCGCTATAGCGCTGTTATATGTCTGTTACTCACAGAGCGCTAAACCCCGCTATAGTGCAGTTTTTTCCTTGTGGGACCCCACTTAACGCTATAAAGAGCGTGACAGTGTTAGCGGGACAGCGTTAACAGGGGTACCAGTTTGTGGGAGAAAGAACCAGAGAGAGACAAAAAGAGAGAGAGAGAGAGAGAGAGAGAGAGAGAGCAAAATCCAATTTGGAAGATCCATTGGCAAGGTACAGAATACTTTCTTTGTTCCCTTGTTTTTAAATTATGTGATTGTTAATTAATTATTAATTGTTAATTGTCTAATAAAATGTTTTTTTGTTTTTTGGGGGAGTAATACAGATAGAGTCACATCTAGTGATTCTTATCAGGGACCCCCAAATCCTGCAGAGAACATCCAGTGGCAAGGTACAGTACAGAATACTGTATTGTCATTGTTCCATTGTGTTGCATAATGTGATTGTTAAGTGTTAATTGTTACTTTTCTAATAAAATCTACATTCATTGTATTTTTTATACTGTTTTACAGATGTCTGAGCACAAAGAGGAGCAGGCTAAGGGCAAGCACCCGAGTATTCCTCTGGATGTCAATATTCAACTGCTGGAATGCCTGGATAAAGGAAAGCACCAAGTGGATATTGGGGCAGATCTACATTTGCCTACCTCCACCATCTGCACTGTCCTCGAAAACAAGGATATGATCCGCACTTCAAAGACGACCAGCACTGCTTTTTTCGGCCAAGAAGATCACCCGCTCCAGGTCCTACGCTCTTGAAGAGATAGAAGAGGCTTTCCATCTGGATAGATGATGAGCTGGAGCGTAACATGCCTCTCAGCCAGGCCACCTTGATGGAGAAGGCGAAGAGCATTTACACTCACATCCAGAGTCAAGATCCAGATCTGACGGAGAGTTTCGCAGCAAGTAGAGGTTGGTTTGAACACTTTAAGGAAATGTACAACCTCTACAACCTACAACCTTAAGATCACCGCTGAAGCGACAAGTGTGGACAATGGAACTGCTGCGGCCTTTCCAGCCTCTTTCAAGGATGTGGTGGATAGAGGGAGCTATCCACTGGAGCTTGTCTTCAATGTGGATGAGACCGGGCTCTTCTGGAAGTGGATAGCAGGCCACACTATATCTCCAGGGAGCAGAAGAGAGCACCAGGCTTTAAAGCAGCGAAAGATAGGCTGACCTTTCTTGTGGGTGGGAACGCCAGCGGTGACTTCCGTATAAAGCCATTGCTGGTGTACCATTCACAGACACCGCGGGCAATGAGGGGCATTAGCAAGTCCAGCTTTCCAGTAATTCGGAAGGCAAACAGGAAGGCATGGACAAGCAGGGAGACTTTTGCAGAGTGGTTCACTGACCATTTCTGCCCTTCTGTGCAGCGTTATTGTCAGCGCAAGGGACTGGAGGAGAAAGCGCTGGACAACGTGCCGAGCCCCCGACTATCTTGGTTGAGCTGACCACCTGCATTCCTGTGGAGATCATGTTCCTACCACTCAACACAACGTTGCTTATCCAAGCTATGGACCAGGGGGTGATTGCCACCTTCAAGGTCTACTATCTCCGCCGCACATTCCATCAGCTGATTGAACACATGGGCCGCGAGGACAAACAATCAATGTTGGACTTCTGGAAGCAGTACCACATCATAAAGGCTGTCTCCAACATTGATCTTTCCTGGAAGGAGATGACACAGCAGTATCTCAAGGCTGTGTGGAAAAAGATCTGGCCAGAGCTGTGAGGATGTGCAACTACCAGAGCTCATCATAGCAGTATTGGACCTTGTGACCACGGCTGGACTAGGAGACACAGATGTTAAGGACATTGAGCATTTAGTCCAGGCTTCAGGTGAGAGCCTCAACAATGAGGGACATAAAGAACTGGCCGAACAGGGAACACAGGAACCTCAGGACACCAGCAACTCAGACACTGGGCCTCCAAAAGCGACTTTCCTCTGAGCACCTAAATAGGGCATGGCAGCAGGTCAATTACATAATGGATGAGCTGGTGGCCACTGATTATGATGTAACTAGGAGCAGGAATGCAAGGCGCATTGTGCTGGGAGAGGTGTCCTGCTACTACCATCTGCTGGATAGCCGCAAGAAGCATAGACAAACGACCCTTGACCCTTAAGCCTCCACATCCACCAGTTGAACCTTTTTTTTGAACTATTACTTTAATTTGGTACTGTTTCTGTAATTTATTGGGTGCAAACCCCTTAGTTTATTTTGCTTTTTATTTATGCTGCTGTGTGCAGTTCACAGCAATTAAAAAGTTGTACAAGTTTATTGGTGTTGTGTCTTTTTTTTTTAAAAGACGTTCTTCTCCATGTTAAACTGTTAAGTCCCCGTTTAGCGCTGTTTCGCTTAGCACTCATAGCAGTTGGAGCCTATCTACAGATTTAAGTGGGTTATTCCTGCATTGTCTCAAGATAACAGACATATATAGTTAAGGTTCTTAAAGAGTCCCACATATAGACATTATTTCTGTATTCTGTTGGCATCTTTAGGAAGTTGCTTTCCTAAAAATAACAAATACACTGGGCATTTTTGTTCGTTTATTTTTCTAGGTCATGTACAGCTGTACATTACAAAAATTGTATTTCTGTTTCAATGCCAATATTTTGCACCCTGGCAAGATAAAGGAGACATATCTTTGATATTTCTGGAAATGATTAATCAATACATTTTTGAATAATAATCTATACGTTAAATTATGGTTTAGCTAACAAATATGTGCTAGGCATGCATCCTACATTTAAATTATCCTGTTTATTTTTCTTCATAGTGGAGGGGTTAATTTGTAGATGATGACTTCTGGGTTAAATATAGTTTAGATCACGTGTGACATTCTTTTACTAGATAATCATTTTACTATTATGTACACAATAACATAGCATAGTGAAGTTTGTCCTAACATAATATAGGTAACACCTGCTTAAAATGCATTTTTAACATTACCTAGGTCTCATAGTTGAATGCGTAATCACTCTTGCGATACAAAGTTTGTACTCATGAATAGTGAGAGAATTAACAATTCAAATTTGTAAATAAATACTTTAGTCCAGCTGGAATTTGGAAATGATCTTTGGCTCAATG